AGGAATAGCTTCAGGAGCAAAGCACTTGGCAGGGTGTTTGTGTAACTCTGGGTAGAACAAACTATATTAATTAGGTTGTTCTAGGATATTCTAAACGAGAAAGCTTGGGTAGATTAGGAATTGATTCAGGATCAAATCACATGAGTGTGATGTTAAGTAACTTTGAGTTGAACATATAGTAAAAAATTGTTCAATTGATATTCTTAATAAGAAAAGATTTTTTACTGCGCTATTGAAACGTGTTATACTACAAGGGTCTCGGTATCTCACAAAGGCTTGGTTTCCTACACCTTTCAGGTTTCCGTTTTAAAAAAAGCTCTTATTTAGCTTAAATGAATAGAAGATACACATTGAAGAGCCATGAGATGACCGTCGGCAATTTCATGTGGCAATAGGTGAATTGGACTGGTTAAAGGAATTCTTTGATGGTGAGAGTGTTTGTTCCTCTTTAGAATGTTTTTTTGTTCTTAGAGTTCACACCCCTTGAAAGCTCTTGGTTCTCATGTTTTTTCAGTTATAGGCTCGGCTTTGTTCTTTAGAGCCTGATTGTTAGGCTATGTGACCATGGTTTTGGTCAGTTTGTATCTACGGATGACCAATACTCTAGAAAGGAAACATTACTCATCCACAAATTGTGAATCCAGAAAACATAATAATTCACAAATGAATCGATGTGAAAGATAAAAATCTCAGAAAAGCGATAAAATGACTGAGACAAAAAAAAATATAATCAAACATCAGTTATTATTTCCTTACAAATAAAACACAAATATGCATTTCAACATCTCTGTTGAGATAATGCAAAAGACTTGATAGAAGCAAAACATACTACAACTTGTGTGAACAATATATTTGTTTACAAACGTATTTGATGCAAGAAAAAAGACGACCAATCAATTTTTTAGGGAACCATAGTGAATATTGATAAAGACATACAAGTTGCGAATTTTTGCAAAAGAAAATATCTTCCATATGCATGCGCTGTAATTTTTATTTATGAACAGTATATTTTTTTACACATTTAACATTGTATATGTCTAACAATTTACTTCAAATGTTTAATCTTTTAACCTAGATAATTATTTACTACAACAATATTTTTTTGTAATATTAAATACAAATAATCAAATAAGCAAGAATTATTGTATACTTTACCATTTAGTTTTTAAATTCATGCGATACGTGGACAATCTCTCGTATATATATATATGACAGACCTTAATTTGGTCCATGTTATTTGTGCATACAATTTATGGTAATTCAATAAAACCAGGTCGACCAATTTTTTTCCCTCATACAATTAAAAAAAAGGAACGTGGAGAAAAGTTACACTAATTTAGGCAAAAGCAAAACAAATCGTTGAACAAGTTTGTTTGATTTTAGCGCGGAACAAGGAAGAGTCTTCATTTTCCTCTCTTCTCTCTTTTGACCAATTAATTAACTAATCTTCCATTTCCCAGGTAACAACAAAAGTTTATGATCCCTTTAATGTTTTTTTTTGCCTCAAAATGCAAATCTCAGACCCAAGATTCTGAGTTTTTGTTTTTCAGGATTCATCATCACTACTACTAGTCTGAAAATACTATTATGGATTCGTCAAATCTTGTATTCGATCACAAGGTCATCATCGGTTTTGCCCCTGTGCTAACTTACGCAGCCTGCGAATGGTTCCTCATATTCCTCATGTTCATCGATGCTCTTCTCTCCTATCTTCTCGTTTGGTTCGCTCGTTACTGCAGATTGCAGATGCCTTGTTTCCTCTGTTCCAAGCTTCTCCATCCTCTCCAGTGGAGGTTCTTGCTCTGCACCAACCACAGATCAGAGGTTTCTTCCTTCATGTCGTGTCACAATCACGACAACAACCTCGCTGACGGTCGTGGCATGTGCGATGACTGTCTCTTGTCCTTCACCAAGATGACCGGTCCCAATCCAGACATGAACAGATTGCTTCTCGGGAAGCTAGGGTATGATCTGCTCTCTAAAACCCATTTTGCTCACCCTAGATCATGTTCTTGTTGCAATAGACCATGGAGGACGAGGCATCATACGCAGAGACTCGTTCGGTTAGGCTCTCGGGGAAGAAACTCACCCGGTAAACCCAACATTCCAGCTCCAAGGCAGCTTCTTACTCGGCGAGGAAGCGGCGGAAGTTTGAAGAAGATGAGAGCTCATAAGCCAACAAGTGGTGCTGAGTATGTCAACATTGGAAGCCGCAGAGATGGTATGGCTCATGTTGGCTACACAGAGCTCAAGATTTACTCGGATTCTGAGTCCGAGTTCCTGTTTTCAGATGATGATGCATTCCTCCATATAACCGACTTCAACGCTGAGCCATCTGAGAAACGTATTCACAAGCCTCGGTCTCGGAAATCGTTTGAAGACAAGAAGAAGATGCCGGATCATAGACGGCCTTATTTGCAGGATAAGAACATTCATGTAGACGATAGTGAAAGTGTCGAATCTTCCATGCCTGGTCATAATGTTGTAGATGAGAACAAGCAACGACAACCTGTTGAACCAGAGGAGCATGAAGCTGTACTCTCAGAGCTTATAACTATGAGTGAAGCTCGTCCCTTCTTACTGGGATTACCTCGAGAGGACGATGCAGGAGTATCAGAACAATATGGTATGTTTATATGCCTTTTTAGAATATATGCATTCATGACATTATTCTTCCTTATTTTGAAGGTTGTTTCTTGCAGAAAGTCAAGCTGAGGCAAGTGGCAACTCATCTCCTTCTGGCGGAGAATTCTTAAGCCCTTATGGAGAAAACGCTGCATCTCGGGAAATCCAGTTTCATGCGCAAAATGATTCTGCAGACTATAATCAAAACATCCTTAGTTCAGCTATAAAGATAGAAGCCTCTGAGGCAGCTATGGAGCAAAAGGCGTCTGGTCACGTAGATGTGCCTGGTTCTGTTGCAGATGAGTCTTCTAGTGATGAGGAAAATGGAGTTGAAGGAGATTTCAAGCCTTTGACGTCTAATGACATGCCAGTTTCTCCAGCACAGGAACAGTCAAGTGAGGAAGAAAACGAGGTTAAAGAAAACAATGTTGCAGAAGAATACTTCAGTAATGAAGAAGAAGATGAGGTCAATGGACATTCCGAGGGGTCGACATCCAAAAATGTGTCTGCTTCATTTGCTGAAGAACAATCTAGTGAGGAAGAAGATGGAAGTAATGGCTATTCGGTTGCGAGATCCCATTCAAGTAATGAAGAGGATGATAACAATGGAGACTCTGAACCTTTGACATCAAACAATGTGACTGGTTCTGCCACAGAAGAACACTCAGGTAAAGAAGAACATGGGGATCAAGAAGAGACTGAGCCCTTGACATCACCAAAAATCTCCAATGAAGAGTCCTCATTAGAACATAGGGATAAAGATTCCTCGAAGGTAACAGAGACACATAATACTTCAAATAGATCACCGGAACTAAAGCACTCTGCTTCTGTGGAATCTTTTGTAAGCATTAGCAGTGACATTGAGGGAGAAAGTCTTGTTGATCTGTTAAAGCAACAACTAGAGCATGACAGGAAATCCCTAAGAGATTTGAGTAAAGAATTGGAGGAGGAAAGAAATGCGTCAGCTATTGCTACAAATCAAGCAATGGCGATGATCACACGGTTGCAGGAGGAGAAAGCAGCTCTCCATATGGAAGCTTTACAGTACCTGAGAATGATGGATGAGCAAGCGGAACACGACGTTGATGCACTTGAGAGAGCAAACGATGTATTAGCTGACAGGGAAAAGGAAATACAAGATCTTGAGATGGAGTTAGAATATTATAGAGTAAAGTATCCAGATGAGCCAAGAGAAGAAATTCTCGCCAGCATGGGGATTCTAGGTGATATAGAAACGAGCGACATCCCAACAACTGATGAGACCAGCGATAAAGCTCCAACAGACATCAAACCTACTGGTTCTCCGTCAGCGGGAATTTGAGAAAGAAAGATTACACATTTCAGAAGCTACATCAGATAGATGGAGGAAGATACTCAAGAGTGCTGAAATGCTAAGCCTGAGAGGCCTTTAGTAGTGACAGTCACAAGAGACCCAAGAGAATAATCTGCAGAGGCATAAAGATACTTTACCAACATTCATTGCAGAACTTCATGGTGAAGAAAGCAAGTCCAAGCATGGAAAGTGATTCTTTCGAGCTTAGTACAGAAATGAGATTTGAATGCTAGAGAAACAGTTAGAGACACAAAAGGGAGAGCTCGTGTTTGTTATAATAGGAAAAAGGTAGAATTAGTTGAGGAGATAGCTTGGGAGCTGGAGGAGTCACAGAGTCTTGGGATACTGAGAAGATGATTCGATTATCCTGTTACCTGCCGTGGTGTGCAGGTACGGTTTTGGAAAAGTTGATCGTCTATGCATGAAAAAAACTATAAATGTTCTATGTTAGGAAGCGAAACCGAATAATTTGTTATTGCTTTTTTTAGGTTTTTATGTGGCTACCCTAATTTTTTGGAGAACAATCCAATCCTTGAAACAACAAGATTTCAGAAACACTATATAACTGAAATTTCAAACTTTATTACCATTATATAGCTTAATCCAAATGAGATTATCCTTTCCTAACAAGAAATCTAATGTCTACTAGACAAGGTAGAAAGAAAAATCACATGGATAAGTACCTTGGGATTAAAACTTTCTTCAACTCCCGTCTTGAAGCTTTATAATTGCATCAAAGCTGAAAGTTTCACCTGGTTCAAATGTTTCTTCAAGATCTTCATAGCTTTGCTCAACTGTCAAATCTTTGCCAACCTTTAGGTCTTCCTACAAAAGCATCAACAACCAAAAGCAAACCCCTTTGAATTCCAGCCACAGGAACAACGGCGTAGAACTTAGTAATTTATCGAAAGATGAGTTATTCACACAATCAAAATACGTCTGTTGAAAATTTTCAAGTCTAGTAGCTTAGCCTGAAAGGTTCTCTTTTCTGTGCATAAGTTTACAATCCAATTTGATTTAAAATGTCACCACCTGAAAGAGAATCTACTGAGCATCCTAAGCTTATTACATACCTTTTTAACATAGTCTGCGATAGTAGAATTGATTAATTTCTTTATCACCTGCCTATACACTTTAGAATATCCAAGGATCTCTAACAAAATATCTCTGGGTATCTGCACTTATAGGAAAAGGGATATGTTAAGTAAAGGTCAACAAAAGACTTCATAAATGTATTAAAAGTGAATTCGTCACTATATAATGTCATCCATCACCAAGGTTCCCTCGACATTCCATCACCAAGCCACTTGATGGTTAAGTTATTTGTACTTTGAAAGTTTCTCGATATTATTTGATTTAGTACATTATTAAAACCAATCTCTGGTAGACTATATGTGTTGTTGAGAGAATACTGAAGCAGAAACTTACATCTGGAGTCTTCCCTGGAGTTCCAAGATTGGTAAAAAGATATAAGAAAACAAATACACAAGGGAAAACATTAGTGATGCGTTCAACAGATTCCTAGTAGCGTTCTTAACAAGAGTAACTTATAAGTCCACTTTATCAAGTCACAATACTTGCGAATTATAAACTTAGTTGAATAAAACAAGTAATATAACACTGAAGAAAATCGAACGATTTGCTCCCTCACCAGTAAATGTTCCTAAGATTCTAATATATCCAAAATAATGAAGCATGGATTGAGTGTGCTTTATAAATATATGTTCCCATAGTCAGATTATGATGTTTGTACCTCCTTTAACTCTTCGGAAGCCCGGAATTGGCTGAGCTGCAGCAACCATTTTGTCAAATACATGGTTGAATTCCGTTAGAGTCTTCTCTCCTGATACTTGTACATGCACCTGCTCAAGACACTGATATTAGATCATGGGTGGGGTTACAGAGGTTCGGTTTGTAACATTGCAGTTAAGATGCCCTTGTCACCAGTATCATTGCAGAAACAAGAGAGCATACCTTAACTTGGTTGGTGTTTACAGTCTCCAGTGTCGTAATCAGAACTGGTTCATCCTTAGAAGAAGCCTCGACATCTGCAAAGAGAAACACACACTTGTCATGACAAACAAGAAGAAGGAGATAATATAATGTTAAAGCTTGAACCTGATGGTGCTGCACAAACTGCAACAAACTGTTTACTTGTTGCCCTGTAAAGAGTATAGGAACCCAAAAACATATCAATGATTCAAGGAAGAAACTAGACACGCATCAGTCTTTTCTTCTACCTTGGAGTAGTAAATAAGAGTAAGATGTTGTTGTTTAGTCTCAATTTGTTCTTGAACAAGCTCACCGTGGACAAAGAAAGCAGAAATGCACAAGTAATTGTCGGAAATTTACCTTGTACAGAATTTGTGTAGCAGAGAATAAGTAGGAGGGAGAGTTACAAGAGAAGAAAATTGAAAGCTTGGTTTTTGTTCTATAATCTGCAAATTACACGGAAAAATGTTGGAACCCAGAAGAAAGAAAAACGCGAATTGAATATAAAGAAAAGGGCTTACGGTAGAGTTAAAGGTACAAAACAAGAGGTTGTGGGTGATTGTCTGCATTATCGTCAGAAGATTGCTTCGTTAGGGCTTTGCTTTCTAATAGAGGATTCGGAAACACTTGCTTATTCTTCGAGAAAGAGTTTCCACAAGAGAGAGAGAAACGCAGACAGAGGTCTGTCTGAGACTCGGAGACCAAGGAAGAAGCAGATAACTCGGGGTTTGGGGAATGGTCTGATTTACGGTTTAGTTTCGATCTGATTGTTTTGGTTTTAACTTTTCCAAAACTAATATCAAATAAAAAGTACTAAATGTTATAAAAACGAATAGTAATTTATCATGTGATAAAGACGAAAATTTTATACCCGATAAAATATGAGATACTGATGAAATAAAGAGAGAAATAGAGAAATATGTTCTACTACTTCTTATTATTGAAGTTGTGAATTCTGTAATTGATCGAAACGCACTCTATTTATAGGCGTAAAAGATAAGTTATTGTGCGCGCATAGTGATGGTGGACTCCATACAAATAATATTTTACACACAACTTTTGACTAATGCTGCGTGTTTTTGTGACTTCGAATAAGCCACCTTTGCTAACTTATTATAGCA